CTGTCTCACACTCGCATGAAGGGCAAGTTAACTGCATACTTTGCAGGGGAAATGCTACAGCAGGCAAAAAACTGCTCGAAGAATTTTGTCATCACATGAAATAACAAAGCTGTTGAAACGTCACTGAACAGTGTGGAGTTTCTTCATTAAAAGACACTAACATCATCTTGCATCAATGCCCTAGAGAGAGTTGCAATTAAACTCCAGATTTTTGCACAAGACTCTACCCAAGACTTCCACAAGATTCTGTTTTTGTGCCTTCTGCTAGGGATCAGAATTGCTGTATAATCCTCAGAAATGTGTCCCTATCATTCAAAGCATTAAAAGCCGCTGCACTGCCAGGTGTCCATGCCCTTTTAGGATGTGACACTACTGGAAGGCTGGCATGAAAAACCAACTTATCTTACTGAAAAGCATCTGATTCAGCCTCCGAAAATTCTCTCCTCACTCTGAAGGAGCTCGGAATGGCTAAGACAGTCATAAATGCACTGAAGGTGTTCATAACATGCGTTTACCATTTGAAAACCAACATTACAACACTTGCAGAGATAAAATGGTGGATGTTTTCCATGAAACTGACAAACAAAGAAAAACTGCCAGGGATAAGGGATGCATTTATACTTGCTATCAAGAAGGCAAGAAATGAAACGGTTCTGGGATGGTCAAGCACATCCAAAGCAAGCCTCCCCTATCAGGCACTGATAGGTCTTGGAGAACAGACTGATCACACCAGTTATGTGTGAAATATCATGCGCTCCCAAATCAATCCTTCAGCTAATCAAATGCTTGTCTGCAAAGACCAGATGTTTGCCACCTTACAAGTTTATGGCCAGCAGCCTGCCCTGAACGAAGTTGTTTGTGCTACGCTCATACATCAACAGTGTTACAACACAGATTCATAGATTCTAGGACTGGAAGGGACCTCCAGTCCCCTGCCCTCATGGCAGGATCAAATACCATCTAGAAAGACCATCCCTGATAGACATTTATCTAACCTATTCTTAAATATTTCCAGAGATGGAGATTCCACAACCTCCCTAGGCAATTTATTCCAGTGTTTAACCACCCTGACAGTTAGGAACTTTTTCCTAATGTCCAACCTAAACCTCCCTTGCTGCAGGTTAAGCCCACTGCTTCTTGTTCTATCCTTAGAGGCTAAGATGAACAAGTTTTCTTCCTCCTCCTTATGACCACCCTTTCAGATACCTGAAAACTGCTATCATGTCCCCTCTCAGTCTTCTCTTTTCCAAACTAAACAAACCCAATTCTTTCAGCCTTCCTTCATAGGTCATCTAGACCTTTAATCATTCTTGTTGCTCTTCTCTGGACCCTCTCCAATTTCTCCACATCTTTCTTGAAATGCGGTGCTCAGAACTGGACACAATACTCCAGTTGAGGCCTAACCAGCACAGAGTAGAGCGGAAGAATGACTTCTTGTGTCTTGCTCACAACACACCTGTTAATGCATCCCAGAATCATGTTTGCTTTTTTTGCAACAGCATCACACTGTTGACTCATATTTAGCTTGCGGTCCACTATAATCCCTAGATCCTTTCTGCCGTACTCCTTCCTAGACAGTCTCTTCCCACTCTAATCAAAGAGGCTGATAAAGGAGGTGCTGTTGTCATCACTAACAGGTCTGACTACCAGACGGAGGCTGCCAGACAACTCTCCAATACCAAATTCTACAGGCCACTTTCCTCAGATCCCACTGAGGAATATCCTAGAAACTGCACCATCTACTCAGGACACTCCCTACACTAACACAGGAACAATTCCACATACCCTTGGAGCCCCGACCGGGGTTATTCTATCTACTACCCAAGATCCACAAACCTGGAAATCCTGGACGCCCCATCATCTCTAGAATTGGCACTCTCACTGAAGGACTATCCGGATATGTAGACTCTCTGCTCAGACCCTATGCCACCAGCACTCCCAGCTATCTCCGTGACACCACTGATTTCCTGAGAAAACTACAATGCATTGGTGATTTCCAACACCATCCTAGCCACCATGGATGTGGAGGCTCTCTACACAAACATCCCACACACAGATGGAATACAAGTTGTAAGGAACGGTATCCCTGATGATGACACAACACAACTGGTTGCTGAGCTCTGTGACTTTATCCTCACGCACAACTATTTCAAATTTGGTGACAATATATACCTCCACACCAGTGGCACCGCCATGGGCACCCGCATGGCCCCACAATATGCCAACAATTTTATGGCTGACATGGAACAACGCTTCCTCAGCTCTCGTCCATTCATGCCCCTCCTCTACCTACGCTACATCAACGACATCTTCATCATCTGGACCCACGGGAAGGAGACTCTGAAAGAATTCCACCATGATTTCAACAGCTTCCACCCCACCATCAACCTCAGCCTGGACCAATCTACACGGGAGATCCACTTCCTAGCCACCACAGTACAAATAAGCGATGGCCACGTTACCACCACCCTATACCGAAAACCCACCAACCGCTATGCCTACCTTCATGCCTCCAGCTTCCACCCCGGACACACCACACGATCCATCGTCTACAGCCAAGCACTGAGGTACAACCACATCTGCTCCAACCCATCAGACAGAGACCAACACCTACAAATCTTCACCAAGCAGTCTCAAAACTACGATACCCGCACAAGGAAATAAGGAAACAAATCAACAGAGCCAGACATGTACCCAGAAGACCTCCTGCTACAAGACAAGCCCAAGAAAGAAACCAACAGAACTCCACTGGCCATCACCTACAGTCCTCAGCTTAAACCTCTCCAACGCATCATCAGTGATCTACAACCCATCCTGGACAATGATCCCTCTCTTTCACAGACCTTGGGAGGCAGGCCGGTCCTCGCCCACAGACAACCTGCCAACCTTAAGCATATTCTCACCAGCAACCACACACCGCACCATAACAACTCTAACTCAGGAACCAATCCATGCAACAAACCTCGATGCCAACTCTGCCCACATATCTACACCAACACCACCATCACAGGACCTAACCAGATCAGCTACAACATCACCGGTTCAGTCACCTGCATGTCCACCAATGTTATATATGCCATCATGTGCCAGCAATGCCCCTCTGCTATGTACATTGGCCAAACTGGACAGTCACTACGTAAAAGGATAAATGGACACAAGTCAGATATCAGGAATGGCAACATACAAAAACCTGCAGAAGAACACTTCAACCTCCCTGGCCACACAATAGCAGATGTAAAGGTAGCCATCTTACAGCAAGAAAACTTCAGGACTAGACTCCAAAGAGAAATTGCTGAGCTTCAGTTCATTTGCAAATTTGACACCATCAGATCAGGATTAAACAAAGACTGTGAATGGCTAGCCAACTACAGAAGCAGTTTCTCCTCCCTTGGAGTTCACACTTCAACTGCTAGCAGAGGACCTCACCCTCCCTGATTGAACTAACCTCGTTATCTCCAGACTGATTCTTGCCAGCATATTTATGCCCCTGGAAATTTCCATTACATGCATCCGATGAAGTGGGCATTCACCCACGAAAGCTTATGCTCCAATACATCTGTTAGTCTTAAAGGTGCCACAGGACTCTGTTGCTTTTTATAGATCCAGACTAACATTGCTACCCCTCTGATACTTCCCATTCTGTATGTGTGAAACTGATTATTCCTTCCTAAGTGGAGCACTTTGCATTTGTCTTTATTAAATTTCATCCTGTTTACCTCAGACCATTTCTCCAATTTGTCCAGATCATTTTGAATAATGACCCTATCTTCCAAAGCAGTTGCAATCCCTCCCAGTTTGGTATCATCTGCAAACTCAATAAGCGTACTTTCTATGCCAATATCTAAGTTGTTGATGAAAATATTGAACAGAGCCGGTCCCAAAACCTACCCCTGCGGAACCCCACTTGTTATACCTTTCCAGCAGGATTGGGAACCATTAATAACTACTCTGAGTATGGTTATCCAGCCAGTTATGCACCCACCTTATAGTAGCTCCATCTAAGTTGAATTTGCCTAGTTTATTGTTAAGAATATCACGTGAGACCGTATCAAATGCCTTACTAAAGTCTAGGTATATCACATCCACCGCTTCTCCCTTAGCCACAAGACTCGTTATCCTATCAAAGAAGGCTATCAGTCTACATGATGTCTAGCAGTGATAGCTGGAGACAACACTGATGACGACTTTGATGAATAAATGTTTCCAGTCCTACATGTCAAGGTTAACTTCCCTAGGATTACCAAAGATCAAAGTATTTTTCATGTATACAATGCACACCTGTGTTGAAGTATAATTTTAAAAGTTGCTTTTTAAACATTTTCATGAATATATATCTGCATAATTGTTCTAGTTTTGTCATATTTGGTGCTTTGTATTCGTGGAAGAAAGGGCTTTTAAATGACACTCAACTCAGTCATTTCCGACAACATTGTATTAGCAAAATTTCCAACAACCAGAGGACCTGAAGCTGGCAGCAAGTCCACCCACCGCAATGCAGAGGGTGACACCACTGAAATGATGATTCTATAGATTTTTATTAATCAAATGACACCTCCTCCCTTGCCTTTCTATAATAACTTGCCCATGGAATGAGATTTTACTACATTATGCTCCCAGATACCGTAATAAGAAGGAACTGAAGTGGGGTGATTTCACCCTTTATACCCTCAACTGGAGGCACCAGGAAGCTCATGAAAACTCTCTGACTCAAGTGCACTCAACACACACACACACACACACACACACACAGCTAAGTGAAACAGACACGAGTACTCAAAGAAGAATTAGGGGTTCTTGCCACAAAATTAGATTCCATCTTACTTCGGAGTACAGCGGGCCCTGACAAAGTATGTTTGGTGGATAGTCTATAAATCAATATGAAAAGCAACTCTGGATAGGACATACATCTAGCTAAAAGATAGTTGTTTCAAGTGAATGGTAAGGAACAAACATTACCATACAAATGAAAATAAAATAATGTCTGAAAATAATTACCTTACCTTTTTCTGATAATGCATATTCATATAAACTGTTTAACTTTGGTAAGACTGGCTTTATAACATGTATCTGAAATTCAAAAGCAGATTTTACGTAATTAATTTAGTTCAACACTCAAACCAAAAAGTTGGTATCATAGCTATACTTATGGGTTAGAATTTGCTCTCAGTTAAACTAGTATAAAACTGGAGTAATTTTATTTAAATTAAGAGTTACTCTGAATCAGTACCTTTTGTAATTAATCCTAGGATCTGGTGCATGGTACTTAAAGTTAGTTTACAGGTTTCTTATTGAACTGCCTTCACTGTCATGCTGTTCTATCACACCAACCACTGCACTTACCCATCAGAAATTGACATTTTCATTCATGATTGAAAACTTGTAGATTTTCAATTCAATAAAACAGCACAATATATTTACTAAAATTTGAAGATTTAGTAAGAAAGAAAATTGTAGGAGTTATTTCTCTCAGTAAAGGCTGTTGATATATTTCATTTTAGACAGTGAAGAAGTGCAAATGGTTTGACTACGGGTGATGGATAGGACCCTACCAAATTCACAGCCATGAAAAACATGTCATGGGCCATGAAATCAGACCTCCCCCAAGAAATCTAGCTATTGGAGGGGTGGGAGATGGATGGGGCTGGGGGCTCCTACCATCCACCAGGCTCCAGCTGGCTGGGGAGGGCCGGGATTTCCTCTTTCCCTGCACAGCCACTTTTGGGGGGAGATCAGACCCACCTCTGGATACCTCCCCTTATTGCAGGAAGCTCCATGGATGCTGCCAGCTCTGAAGGCTCCCAGAAGCACAGGGGAGATCAGACCCATCTCCATCTCCAGGAATCCCCTCTGGCTGCAGGAAGCTCTGCAGCTGCTGCCTTCTCAGCCCAGCTCCGAAGACAGCACAGAAGAGAGGGGGGCAATCCCATGACCCCCCTTCATCAGCTTTGTGATCCCCATAACCTCTTTTTGGGTCAGGACCCCCATGGTTACACCACCATGAAATTACAGGTGTAAACATCTGAAAACGTTAAATTGACCAATTTTAAAACCTTCCGGCCGTGAAATTGATCAAAATGAATCCTGAATTTGGTAGGGTCCTAGTGATGGGCTTTACAGACCCCACACTACGGATAAACGGAGTAGTGAAACAATACTGTGCCCAGAAGGTCCCACCTCTCAGCAGCTGCCAGTCATGTTCCCTATGGAGGATCTACTTAAACAGGAAACTCTGGCAGTCAGCAGGGGGAAGAGTGAAGGAGAGACTGGCTGCAAGAAGGCAAATGGAGAGTAGTTGCTGAAGCAGAGCAATATATAGGGGGAAGACTGGGACTGTGAGTAAGATATGGCCAGGAGACCGGGGTCTGACCTTGCCCCCTCTTCTACCTGACCCAAGAGAACAAGTGGACTCTGGGAGTGAGCTGGAAATCTCCCCCTGCAGCTGGAGCTCTGAATTACTGAGACTGTGCAAGGATGGGAAACAGAATGAAATAATGAAATCTGATTTTCCTCATCAGATAAGTGACTTACCCAAAGTCTTTCAGCAAACTCAAATCAGGTCTCCCAACTGCAATCCCCTGCTCAACCCACTAGATTTATTGTTGTCTCAAAGAAATTATGAGGGGGTTTCTAACTCCAAAATAATTCAATCACACTAACTTATAAAAGCTGTATGTTAAATGTTTTGCATGTGAAAACCAAAAAGTCTAAGGCAGAAGACTTATAAAGCTGTAACAGGCTATTTAAACATGCTTGTTAAAGCAAGATTACTAGTTTGTGATATCTGAACAAAATGTGTGATTGACAATACTGTTCAGCATATGAACATATAATCAAAAATACTCGACATGTTATACACAAACTTAAAGTACACTTACCTGATTTCCTTCCAGAGTCTCCATTATTAAAATGTAATTTTCCCAAAATTGCAAAAGTTTGTCATTCTTCTCCACAGACCACCAGAAAAGACTTGGTTCTAATTGAAAATATTAAATTGTTTAAATTACAAAGATATTTCTGCTCCTATTCTTCAAGCAAAAAGTAATATAATGCCATCTCCAGCATGAGTGATCACCAAGAAGTGATAACACAGGACTTGATCCTACAGTCTTTTCATTCCTACTAATATCAACAGTTTTGCCTCAACAAGGGCTGAAAAAAAATCAAATTTTGCAATCTACTGAATTTTAACAGCAATTTCCCATGTGGCTGAAGTGAAAATATATGAACACGCAGATTCTTCTGATAAACCCATTTAAGATTAGCTAGAAAACTGTGACTATGCTAATCACCTGTCAGAATTTGCTATTCTTTCCAGATCTCATCACTCATTTTTCCAATAATAGTAACTCATATTTTGTTACCTGCTGTATAAATGGTAAACTGACATGAAAGTGACACTTCTCAGAATCTGCTAGCAACAGCAGAAGTAGAGATTGAGTGGGGATGTTGGATTGCAAATTTTATTTTTTAATTAATATTTTGCATCCACTTAAGTAGCTTGCCCAGAATTACACAGGAAGCCCAAGAAAACAGAACCATTTTCTCTACTCATGCCATGTGCTTTTAATGACAGTGCAACAATCTTGAAAGTTTCAAATAATCTGAGACTTTAAATATTTGAAACTTAAGGGAGAATCTTGCTCCTACCTCTTAAACACCAAGTGCTAAATTATGCCTTGCAGAGTGGGTGAGGCATGAGCAGGGCCAACAACCCTTCCCCATGCCATTTCAAGACAGCCCTCAATGGCCAGGCTTCCAGCACTGGGGAACAGAAGGGGGAACCAGCTGGTACAATTGCCAACCCTAGCAGCCCTACAGCGCATATTTCAAGATGCACTCTTCCCAGTGATCCCCCAGACTTCCGAGTTAAATCTTCCATAACAGTCTACAAGACTGACTAGGCATCATGTGAAGAGCGTTGGCATAGAAAGTATTCTGCAAAACGAAGGATCGTCTGATAGGCTACAAAGTGGGTCAAAATTTGGAATGCACCTTTGCCCACTGTCTACCTCCATCTTTACTTAAGCCTCGGTCAGTGGTTCATTAGAAAGGTGCTTAGTTTCCTTGGCTATTTAGACAGGGCCCAGGGCTTGTCTGTGCTGATTTTTACCAAGTCTGAAATGAGGTTGTAACATGGTGGACTCCATGAACAGTTTGTTTCCATACTTTAGGATTAACACATGCTTCTGAGCCATGTAACTGCAAAGTTTCAACTTAGCTCATAAGTAGTTGTAACAAATGCCAGAGTGTAAACAGACCCGAACACCATTTTTGTGCTGTACTGGTTAACCAAATTTGCCTACCTTCCTACCTCCCAATGCCCAGTACAAGAGGACAGAAATACAATAATCTCCCGGACACCAACAACTCTGCAAGGCACCCATGGAACAATTATCATCTTGGCACCCAAGCACTGGCAGAACAGGCTGGCTGTGCAGATTGCCCCACAATGCAGTAATGCACACATGGCCGTGCAGGGTGGCAGGCCGACTAAACTGTGTGAGTCGCCGATATGTGGATGTACTCGGAGGGGTTAGCAAGGGCAGTCGACTGACAGGTGCGGGCTATGTACCGTCTCCATTGTCCGGGGGGCAGGTGCAGTCCGTGCGCAGCTGATCGGACACCTCCACCGCTCGCTTCAGCAGGTAGCGGGCTCGTTTCCGGCACAGCCCGTCCCCGTCGGTGAGTCCCTCCTGCACCACTCGCCAGAAGCCCCCGTAGAGCCGAGCGTCCAGAGCCGGGCCCTCCCGGCCGCCATCCCCGTCGAGACCGGGGAACAGCAGGTCCGCCAGGGCTGTCAGGGCCAGCAGGGTCCGGCTCACCCGCTGGGCGGCGGCGCCCCCCTCCCCGCGCCCCGGCAGCAGCCCCGCCCAGACCCGCCCCAGGGCGGTGCGGTTACTGCTCAGCGCGGGCAGCAGCCGCCCGGCCACCAGCGCCGCCGCCACCTCCTCCCCGGCCTCGCGTCCGCCCGCCCGCACGAGCGCCAGCGCCGCGTCCACCGCCCGCTCCAGCAACGCCGGCTCCTGCAGCTCGGGGGCTACGGCCACC